CGTAGAGCACCAAGAGCCACATAAAAATGCGCTGGGAAGTGACCTGTATCCACCACTGGCTGAACAAGGGGAAGAACACCACTCTCACAATTCCCTTCCTCGTCAGAGATGTCCAGGGAATTTCGGGCTTGGCTTTGGCAAAGGTAGAGCCTTGGAATTAAAGGGGAAACGAGCCATCATTAGCTGTGAATCACAAGAGCTGCCTTGCTGGAGTTCCCCTTTGGGCAGCCCCAGCCCCGCACAGGGCTGAGCAGGGGTGACAGCAGCCCAGGTTCGGGCACCGTTCAAAGCGACGCAGTCCCAGCAGCTCCTTGTGTTCTCTCAGAGCTCTGCCCCTGACCCTTCCCTGCCCACCCAGCCCCTCCTGCAGAGCCACCCCGAGCTGCTCCCGCTCTGCTCTCAGGGTTTCAGCGCCCACGGGCAGGGGCTCCCCTGGCAGCAGGGCAGGCTCTGCTTCCCCCACCCTGCACAAAGCTGGGGCGAGCCTACAGAACCAGGGAATGTCCTGGGCTGGAAGGGACCCACAGGGATGGCCAAGTCTCTGCACAGATCCCCAGCAATCCCACCCTGGGCATCCCTGGCATTGTTCTCCTGCAGCTCTGGCAGCCTGGGGGCCGTGCCCATTCCCTGCGGAGCCCGGGCAGTGCCAGCACCCTCTGGGGGAGGAACCGTTCCTGATCTCCAGCCCAACCCTCCTGACCCAGCTCCAGGCGCTCCCCGGTGCCATCCCTGTCCCCGAGGGGAGCGAACAGAGCCAGCACCGCTCACCGCTGATCAGATCCACATCGATCAGGTCGGGTTGGATGTGCCCCTTTTTCTTCGGCTTGTTCTTGAAGCCCTGCGGGGCGGAACACAGGGCCGAGTTAGCGGCGAGGGGCGCGGGGCCCGCTCCCCCCCTCCCCGCCGCCGGTACCGGTACCTTCATCTGGGTCTGCTCCACGGCCTTCTCCCATATCTGCTGGTCGTAGGCCCCGATCTGAGGGGAGAGGAGGCTGAGGGCACGGCCGGGCCCGCGCCAGCCCGCCCCGCGCCGCACTCACCTTCTTCTGGTACCATGAAATGGCATCGTGACAGGCCATGGGAGCGGCGGGAGCGGCGCGGCCCCGACACCGACACTGGCCCGGTACCGACCCCGGTACCGGCACCGACCCCGCTCCCGTTACCCTGGAAACCGCCCGGCGCTCGACTGGCTCCGCCTGCCGCCCCCCCCTCCCCACCCACCCAGGCAGTGCCAGCCGAGCGCCGAGCGCCGCCCCGACCCCCCCCACAAGCCGTGAAGGAAAGAAGCGCCCAGGCGGGTAAAGGACAAAATCAGACTTTTGTTTATTAAAAAAATACTTTACAGGAAAAAAATTCTATGCATTCCGCAGGACTATTTTACAAAGAAATAGCTTAACAGTTTGACACTGGTGTACAGTCAGCTACCGGGGGCGCGGGGGGCGCGGGCCGCCCCGCACACGCGCGAATGTCAATAAATACACTAAGGCCGCACAAAGCAAACAGTCGTCCAGGCAATTGTACACGTCCTCTGGAGGCAGAGACCTTAGATAAATTAAAACCACAGAAAAAAATAATCGTAGCTGCCAATCAAATCAAATGAAATCACGAAACAGCAATACAGGAGTCGGTATCTTTACATGTTGTACAGAGAAATCAGGAAAAGCGGGTGTGCGGGTGCTCGGGGTGCCCTGGCACTGCTCGGAGCCCTCAGGAGGGGACAGAGGAGGCTCTGGGGGACAGGGGACGAGCCCTGGGCTCCTCTCGCAGCCCTCAGGGCTGCCCAGGCTCAGCACACCTGGGGAACTGCAGGGTTCAGCACTCAGCTCATGGGGAAAGCTCTGACAATTTGCCTGACCTGTAACACAGGGAACCTGGCAGGGCACAGCAGGACACTGAAAAGTGTCCCTTAGGATGCCCTGGGGACACCTCGTGGTGTCCCCCCTCCTGGAGCAGAACCTGGAGCTTGTCTAAAAGAGAGGAAATCAAATTCACCCTGCATTTGCTGGCCCACTTCTAGCCCAGCTGAGCCACTTTATCCCTGGGGTGTTTTAGTCACCAGCACTTGATTAAAGCCCAGCCTAAGCCTCAGTTCTGTTTCACAGCACTTGGTCAGTGACAGCTGTTCCCAGCACAAAGCTGGGCTGTTTTCTACCTGACACACATCACAGAGCATAAATGGAGCACTGAGGATTTGCAAAACTGACCAGCACATTTGTATTTAGGAACTGTTCTGGATCTGCTTTCCACTGTGAGTAACAGAAAGTTAAGACCTCAAAAACCATCCAGTCCCAGCTCCCTGCCATGTGCAGGGACACCTCCACTGGGCCAGGATCCCCAACCTGGCTTTGAAAACTTCCCAGGCTGGGGCATCCACGGCCTCCCTGGGCAGCCAGACCCTCACCACCCATCACATCTCTTCCTTATCTCTCACCTAAATTCCTCCTCTTTTGATTTGTGCCCGTTTCCCTTGTCCTGTCACTCAGCTCCTGATGAACAGCCCTGCAGATCCTGGAAGGTGTCCACACTGAACAGCCCCAGCTCCCTCAGCCTTAGAACAAGCCACCAAATGTGGCTCAAAAAATCACATCAAATCAAAGGTGATTAGCTCATTAAGGAGCCTGCTTTAGGAAATATTGGAGAAATTCAAATAGCAGCTATTTAACATGAGATATTCAGGAATATTTACTGGATTTGTTCTGCTCAAACACTAAATGGCTTGAACTCGTTATTTCCTCTCTAAACTGCTCTAGCTCATAAAAAATCAGAGTTGTACAGGTCTTGGGCTGGAAAACATTTGCATTTGTCCCATTAAGGCTTTGTTTTGGGCACCTGAAGCAATGGCTGGAGACTGAGCAGCTTCCCAAGCAATCCCTCTCACACTTTACACCCAGAGTTGAGGTGGAATTTGAAACTCTGCCAGTTTGGTTAAAGCACAGCAAAGCTGAGCATGGATTTAGTAAGAGATTCTCAAGCAGCTTGTTCCTCTCCCCCTCAGCCTTCCAAAATAGGATAGCATCAGCAACATTCAGGTCATTCAGATACCTTTATTCATGTGCATTTCAATCTGACATTAGGTTTAAGTTAGTAACTGAGCAGAGCACAGAGAGCACGATGCTATTGGCCACGTCCCTCCATGCAAGAGGAAGTCAGAGCATTTTCCAGCTATTTCAGGCTGTTGTCACAGATTTCACTAAAGCTACAGCTTGGAAAGCAGCACAGACCACCCTAATCTTCCTTCCCTTGCAAACATGCTATCAGAATTTACAGAGGACTTCCAAATGGACTCTCTCTTCATGCCACCCCCATTTCCCAATTAGCAGGTGGTGCCTGGGGGCTCTCAGCCTGTTTGCTCTGCTGGCCCTGCAGGGGTGACAGTTCCTGAGAGAGCAGAGCTGGCTGCCAGGGAAGGGCTGGAGCAGCAGGGACAGGCAGAGCGGGCACGTGGAAGACTCGCAGACTTGGTCAAAAGGAAAGAACACCCCTGGGGAATCTTTGAATGTGAAGGATGAACTGAAACCACTATTGCCTGTGAGGAATTTTACTTTGCACAACCCTTAAAGCTATGAAATTCCTCTCAACATAAAAAGTGGAAAAAACCCACCAGAGAACCGACGGCTCCTTCTGAGCCGCGCTGAGTCATCTAGAATTTCTGCTAAGATTAAATTACACCCCTGCATGAATCACATTACTTCTCATCATAAAAGCTTTCCATTCTAACACCTTATTTACACAGATTACTAAACGAGTCACTACCACTTCAATCTGTAAATTAGTTTTAAATTGAAATATTTCCTAGTCCTCATTTTTGTACTGAAGACAATACATACATACACATAAGGAGTAATACAGGTTCTAACTAATCACTGCAGTATCTTCTGAGGATTATTTCTCTATCAGTTTAAAATAGTGACCTCTACACTGAGGTGCTAATATGTATATAAAAGCCTACACAAACAATATTGCACAAAGTAAGATTTATAATAGAGTAACATATTTTAGAGACCCTTATAAAGAGAAGAGTAATAATTGATATTAAAAAGATGCATCCAGAACTAACACAGCATCTTTGCTTTTGTCTAGTCTAACATAGTGTTTCAAATCTTTCCTACCCCAGTGAGGATTAGAACAAATAAAGTTATCTGGAGACAGCTTAAGTTGCACCAAACCCCAACTTGTACTCTAAATGTGGGGAGGGGGAGGGAAAAGGGACTTTTCCTTTTGATGACTGGAAAGGGCAGTAATAAATGGGGTGAGTGAAAGTCAAATACAGGTTACACATTAACATCCAGAAATATTGAAAGATTGTTTAAAAACTGTTGATAGCTGACACTCTACACATTGAGCACGTGCTGCTGATTTTTCCACAGTAACTGGGCACCCAGGAGCTACACATGGAAAAAGCAGTCCAATGCCAAAAGACTTTTTATTGTGAAATACTAATACAGAACTTACACAGTAAGGCTGTCCTTATTCTAGGAAGTCAGGTATCAGCTCAATGCTTATTATATTAAGTGCATCAGTACAAGGGAAGGTGTGGATCCATTGGACGCGTTACGACCCCATCAAAACAAGCTGCCAAGTTGGTTAAGTATTTTAAAGCCTTAAAGTGCTCAAAGATAGCAGTTTCCTCCACAAGACTACCAAGAGGTTCTCTAATTTTGACACTAGCATTTATCACATTCAGGGAAGATGTATTTTGGAAGCAAAAACCCCCACACCAAACAACATAAGCAGTGCTATGAGAAGTGTTAGGTCAGTAAGTCATTGCATTTCAACAGGAATCAGACACTTGCTTCAGTTCATTTTACAGGTCACCCTTGTAGGAACTGTAAGAAACATCAATTTCTATAGCTTGTATATAAACCAACATGTCAAGAACAGACATACCAAAAATTCCACAAATCATCAAAAGTGCTGTGCTTTCTCTATTTTTCTTCTTTTTTCTTTTTTTTTTTTTTTTTTTTTTTTACTTTTTTTAAGCAATTAAAATGAGATGGGGAAATCACTTTGCAAGTCTTCTACAAAAGCATCACTTTCTGGTGAAGATTAGAGATAAAGTAAAAGCAGGGAAATAACACTGACCAATGGAGTTCAATCATTTCATATTCCTGGAGGAATTCCAATCTGACTTTGAGAAGATATTCAACATCTCTTTACTTAAACAGAAAGAAGTGGTAGACCACTGTTACAGGTTGTACTAAGGGGTTAAAATACAACTTGAATTTTGCATAATCTGTGTAAAAAAGATATGCTTGACATTTTGGAATGTCACCTTTCTTTATAGAATTATAGGCAAGATTTCTCCAATAAAACATAAGCCAGTTATAAAACTATAACTTCACATCAAAATTTTAAAAAGTTGTTTAAAAAATGTTTGAATATATACATATCACACAGAAGAGCCTGCATGATCCTGTGGATTGTGTTGCTGATCAGACTCTATTTTAAAACCTGGAAGGGGCTGGGCCACCTGATCTGGTTGCACAAGTCCTGATATTGAAGAAACAGAGGAGGAGAGCACCCCTGGGGTAAGCTGAATTTCTATACCTGGTTCTTCAGACTCTGTTTTTACACTCACACCTTGGGGTTCACCTTGTGCCTCTGTGCTCCCAGGAACGTCACTGTTCAGGCTTGAGCTGCTCTCTGCTTTTGGAGAAGTCTCCCCCACGGGGTGGTACTGTTTGAGTCTGATGTGCCAGGCTAGGCTGCAGACTGCTGACACTGTTTTGAACTGATGAATGACATTTCTGGGGATGAAGTAGATGTCATTGTCACACAACTGAATCCTGGCATAGCGAATGCCTTCCCGTCTCATTTGGTTTAGTTTGGCTTCGTCCACCCATTGAACACACTGGGAGAAGGAGAGATGGCAAAGTCAGTGGTGAACTCTTCAAACACTCAGCATCTTCCTGTTTTCAAGTGAATTCATGTCTAAATCAGAATGTCTACTTTTCATGGGTAAAACTTCAAATTCAAATGAGAACTGGACTTTAAAAATATAATTTCCCTGATGTCCTGAGAGGAGGATGAAGAGGTTTCTATAGTTATAGTTAAAACCAACAACAGGCTGCATTGCTTGGGTTGGCAGGACTGAGTTTAGATGCTTCCATAGCTAAGACAACAGACATCAGCCAAAGCAGGAGCAGGCACACATGGCTTAATCAACAGATTGTTTCTATAGCACACCCTGGGACTCACAGCATGAACCCCAGCTTGGGGGAATGGAAAATAAAAAGGTCCCTTCCAACTGAACTATTTTATACTGAAACACAGGGAAATTTTTACTCAAGAGAGCTGAGAACTGAGGGGATACAAAAGGGATGACTTTAGGGAGAAGCTGGGATCTGTCAGAAACTCCTCCCAAAACACCAGGAATGAGCTGTCACAAGGGCAGATTTGATACCTGTGACACTGGAGGTTCATGCAGGTCCAGCTGAAGTCTCTGCACAACATCAGTGAAGTCTTCAGCATGAAAACAAACCACATCTTTGGTTATACGAGGCTGGTCACTCCTAGAAAAAAATGAGAATTCCAGGAATTGTTGAGTATTTGAGTTACAGAGCATTCCAGCTCTTCCAGCAGAAAGCTCCATTGAACCAATGACATGCTTGAGTGTTACACTGTGCACAACGTCTCAACACTTCTCAACAGTGTATTATTTTGAAAAAGAGGTATAATTCATCTATTTCCCTTTTTTCTTTCTCAATTTTTGCTGCATTCACAACAGAAGGAATGTTTGCATGGACAACACACTGAAAAGCCTGAGACCCAGGTTCAAACTGCCACTATAAAAGTTCTCTGTGTTCTAGGAACAACTATTTGCTCAATTCTTCTATTCTGTAATTGGACAGAAAAATTCTGCATTAAGGGAAAAATGTAAAACTACAAAGTAACACTGAAGTTGAATCAGTGAGGAGTTTTATTCAACAGTATAGGAAACATTGGCATCTTTTATTCTAATGATAATGCTAATGATGCTATCCAATTTCCAGTGTAATTTCTAGCTATTACAATGATGCAAGTCCAGTTTCTCTGCAAGGTCAACAGCAATATCCTGGGTACATGACCTGAGAAAGCACTGCAGCTGTGAAATTAATTACAATGAGCTCTTAGACAGCAGTTACAAAGGCTAGAATTAATATACCTGCTCAGGAAAAGAATAATCAGGGATGATGGTCCAAGTTTAAGGTTTTTGTATATCACTAAAATGTTCTGCAAGCTGCTGTTACAAATTTTTTACTGCCTCAAGATGGAAAAACAGGAGGTACACAGCTTGAGGTTTCCAGCTCTGTGCAGCTTTTGAATCACAGAATAAACTAGGCTGGAAAAGACCTTGAAGATCATCTAGTCCAACCTATGACCTAACACCTCCTCATCAACTAAACCATGGCACTGAGTTTACTTTCAAACACATCCAGTGACTCCAGCACCTCCCTGGGTGGACAATTCCAGCCATTGTCACGCTGGAGGATTTAAACCATTTCTGATTAGGTTTGTTTTGCAAGGAATTTTATTTTTTTAGAAGAAAGAGTAGCTGCATGGCAGCAGCACTCACCATTCCCCAAACTGCACAGCCTTGAGCACCCCGACAGCAGCTGTGCTCTGCCAGTCAAAGCCCTGCCCCACGTGGTCGGCGTGGGCTCGCGTCCTGTCCTCGAACAGGACCTCGCGGGGCTCGCTGGTCCGAGGTAGGTACTGCAGGTTCTTGATCTCGTTCATGGACCTGCAATGCACAAACACACACTGAAAATGGCCCTGCTGCTCAAGAATTAACGTTTGTACTGAAATCATCTTAGAATTCTGGGTGCTGCAGGCTTCAACAAAGCACTTCCCTCTGATTTTTTTCTAGGTGTTGATTTGGTGAAAGATTGAAACAGAACCAGTAAAGTACAATTCAGGTAATAAGATCAAACTTTACAAAACAAGTCAAATCACAAAATTTTTGTGTTCACCTGTGCTGAAAGACTTCCTCCAAGAATGTACCAGTATGTAAATAGAGCTATCTTGTAGAAACAGAACTTCAGTTATTTGAGAATACATCCAAAAATTCTTCTTGAAAAGACAATTAAAATATGCTTCCAAATCTCCTGAAATTTGTTTTAGAGCACTCTTACAGAGACAGAAAGCAAGAATACACAATAATTGCTGGGCAGGCATGTGATAAGTGCTTTAGCACTGCCATTATTAGGTAGCACGAGCAGTAGAAGGATCTCTGCTGTTTTACAGCATTCCACCTGCCCTCACCACCAAATTGGTTCCTGCCACAGAAATAAGATGAATTGAGTCTCCTGCAGGATAATAAAAAGAGGTTTTAATCTTAAAGCACCGATCTAGGATACGTGAGAAGTACTGAAAGATACTGACAGAAGTAGTGAAATAAAATAACCATCAGGGTAACATTTGCTTTATCAGCTGAGCCAATTTGAAAAAAAGTGAAAGTGAAACTTAAATCTGAATTAGTCCTCTGAAACGCCAGTTACACATCAATACTTTGCTTTTGTTCTCAAATCTGACACAGACTTAACTGCAATGTTTTCCCTCGAGTACAAAAGGAAACCCAAACTCACCGGCGCCGTTTGAAGGGGGATTTTGGCATATCAGCTGTGGGGATCATCTGCTCTCCCGGCCTCACCCACATGATGGGCCCATCATCACTCTGGGACCTGCACTGCAGTCTGAGACTGGAAAGAGTCCCCCAGGGCAGAGTCATCTAAAAGAAAACAGGAACAAAACAACCCACAAAACACACATAACACAAAACACTGGGTGAGATAGAAAAATTAAATGATGCCTTTGGTAAAACTGGTTCAAATCGGCTGTCAAAAGAATTGCATAGAATCTAAGTACGTTTGAGAGGTAAAAGATATTCCAAGCTAATTTTATCGAGCACAGTTTTTAGGGAAGTAGAAGTATAAAAATAATCAAGTTTATTATATAATTAGCCACCTCAGTCCATGTCTTTCAACTGGACACAGTAAAGAATGAACTTCAGTAGCCCAAATAAGCACATCAATAAAGAAAATCCCTTACAGTTTCTAATTACTTAGAAACCTAACAATTGCTTAAATATCTACAGTGCTCTGAACACAGCACAAGTCACTGCTTACTCTGAGAAATGGAGATTCTTCCAACATATCCAGGAATTCTGGGAAGTAGTCCCCCACTTCTTCATCCACGGCTCCCACCAGGCTGATCTGGCGCATGGGGCCCGCTCGGTAGGTGCCACAGCAGTACGTCCGATTGACCTGTGCCAGACAGGAGACACAACAGCAGCACAGCTTCAGTTCCCTCCCACGAGGATAAAGTGACTGATCTAGCACAGCTGGGATCAATCTTGGACTCAGCTACAGCTGTTTCAGCAGATGGGCCTTTGGGAATATGCACAGGGACTGTTCAGAACAGAGGAGAAAGAAAGGACTCCTGTCTGTACTCCTGACAGGAAATCCTTCTGGAGTCCGAATAACAGCAAGTGAATATTTGACTAATTCAGGAACAATTCAACACTTCCAGGCTGACTCGAGAAAACAACCACACAAGGTTTCATTGTGACTCAGTCCTTCACCAGCAAGCTTTAACTCTCCACTGGTTTGTGCAGTTGGACTTTTGCTTCTACATTTCAAAGCGGATGTTCCTGGGCTTTGCACATTCCAATTTCAGCCCTGTCCCTGAGGTCCTTCCCCTGGGCCTGCAGTGAAAAACCTCAAGGACTTTCATGCAGTGGTTCTGGTGACAGTATACACAGGAAACTGTACAAAAACCAGATGAAATGAGGGGTTTAGCTGGAAAGCAAGAGCTCATGGAGAAGAATTTTAGGATTACCATTTGCAGTAGAACCTGCTGTCGGTGCTGGGGTCAGAAACACTTTAATCTCACAGCTCGTGGACATCCTCTAGAACACAGCCTGTCCCACTTTGCTGGGTCATCTGGAAACTTTTCTTACCAATTTCCTGTTCCCAGAGGAGAGGCACTGGCAAGACTCCAGTGCTCTGCAGCCTCATCCTATGGACTGCAGCTGGAATGTGCCATATGGCCACAGAGGAGCTTCTGTGCAGACACCAGAGCTGATGTTACAGAGCACCAGTCTGCTTTGCACAGTCACTTGTGGCTGAGCCCCAGCCTTCCACCACCCTTCAGTGTTCCAGGGTGAAAAACTCCAGCTGTTCTCCATGGCTCAGTGGTGGGACAGCACAGGCAATCACTGGTAAATGTGCAGTTTATGTTCACCCAGGCTGATGCATTTTAGAACTCCACTTAGAGATACATGCCAGTAGCAGCTCAGCTTTTAGTTTCAGTTTTGCATGTTTAGCCAGCAAACCAGACGTCATTAAACTACTCCATGTTGTTAAAGGTAAATTAGGAGAGACTAATAAAGGAAGAACAGAGTTTCTGCTGCAATTTTATCCTCCAGCAGCAGCCACAGATATTTCACTTAATGATACAAGTTGAGCTACTCTATCTGCTGAGTGCAGTTCAGAGCAGGAGCACTGGAACACCACAGCAATATTTTTATATTTTTGTTCTGTGCACATACAGAAAAACTAAGGACTGAAGTGCTCTGGTCCTTATCCAGTGAAGTTAAACTGCCTGGCACTGTTTATGTAAGTGCAGCCAGACTCCTTCCAGATGAGTTCTGTGCTACTGAAACCACCTGGTGAGAGTCACTAGTATTTTACAGGTGTTTGTCATGAGTTAAAATGAATTATAATTCCATATGCAGGTTTTCCTTGTAATGTTTTCAAAGGAAATGAAAAATTAGAAGCTTTAACTTTGTTTTTAAATGCACTGGAACAATGGAAAAATAGACAAGAACTCGGGAGCTATAAAGGAAACAGAAGAAATACTTCAGGGAAACACTGGATTTCAATGTTTTGCTAGTTTCTAACAGAAACACACTTGAGAATTAAACCCAGGACATGTTTACACTGACAACACGCACCAACCCACGGCAATCCCCAGCAGGCTGTGCTATTCATCTCAAGCACCTCAGTCACAGGGGATCTAGTCTGCTACTTCAATATGCCATAACAAACTTCTTCCCAGCATGTCTCTCATTCTTAATTCCTTCTGAGCAGCAAACACTGGTTAGGCCAGTGGTCCCAACAACATGATGCAATGAACATCTAAAAGAACAGGCACCTTGCTCTCCCTTTACAACTGGGAGGTTTAGTGTCCCATGAGTAAGCACCCTGCTTGCTGCACTGCAAACTGCTCTGGCCTTTCGTTCACCAGGTGCTCCAAATTCCCTCTGAGCTCTGTTCACTCCACAGTCACCTCCGTGCACCCCTCATTGCAGGGGAGAAAGCTGAGATGATGAAATAGCTGAAGTAATTTCATTCTATCCATCAGACCTCTCTCCGTGTTTTTTATTTTTGTTTAAAGTTCAGCTCTTGTTTAGGAATTTAGCTGGGGTCACTCCAGTTCACAGGGCTGCCAGAAGTCAGTAACTCATTACCACAGCACCTCCCTTGTATGATTTGTTCCCTGAGCTGCTTTAAAAGCAGCAGTGGATCTCAAGCAGTCACTGCCACTGGTTTTACTGTTGCAAAAGGACAATGGGGCCAGTAAGACAGCTCAGGCAGCCTGTGCCCTTCCAAATGCCACCCAGCCATCACTGCTGTGTACCCCCACTCACAGGGACTTATGGGCACGTTTAAAATTAGCTCCAGTGCTCATGGAGCCATTTTCTCCCAGCTGCACCATGTGCTATCAGTGTTTCCCACACTGGGCTGAGAACAGAAGCAGACAGAGGCAGTGTTTCCTGTCAGAGGCTCAGAGCTGGTGTTTATTTGCATGTTCCTGAGGCACCCCAGCCTCACCACGGGTTAAGTGAGCAGCGCAGGATGAGAAGAGGACACACAGATGAGGCATCAGCTGGAGACAAATGAGGTTAAGTCTCTGAAGTTTCTCTCCAGTTGCAAGAAAAGCATGGATCAGTTGACAGCAACAATATTTCAGCATGCCAAGTCAGCTATAAAACCAACCCCACAAAACCTTGGCTCCAAGGAAGAAAGCAAGAGCACAAGGCTGGCTGCTGCTGAAGGACAAGGCAGTGACATGCCAGCACAGCAAGGGTGACATGCTTGACTAAAATCTGACACAGTGCAGGACCACTGGGCATTGTTTATATGGCTTTAGTGACAAACCAAATGAAGGATGCAGTACAGATGCACAACTTCTTCATTTCATACTTTGGTAGCTACTGCTAAAAAAAAGAAATTGCCCTTCCACAATCAGAGAAGTTCAAACTGTGATGTGGTTCCTGAACCAAAGGTGTCAGCAACAGAGGAACGTGTTCTGAACAGCAGGAGTAAGAAAACTCACCCAGTTATCACCTGTTGGCTGCTTCTCCCACCTTCTTCCAGAAGGAAGAGCAGCTTATGCAAAACCTATTTCCCCAATTCTCTTTCCTGGCCTCTTCCCAGAACCCCCACACACCCTCTGTGACAGTGTAACTGTTCTTTGGATCACAGAGAATTCATCAGGCAAGTTGATCAGTTGGGAAAAAAAGCAGAAGGGTTTTTTTAACTCTAAATATATTCCCATTCACTGAGGGGAAGCAGTTGTACTGAACAAGTGATAAGGAAAATAAGAGTTCATTCTAACCGCACTGCAAAGAGCTTCCAAATGAAAGTGTGCCCTTATGTGAGGAAAGCTTACAAATTACTGCTCAGTGATTTGAGTCTTGAAAGCTCTCAGCCCAAGTGAACAGCTCCACACTGAAGCTGAGCTCCAGCATTGAAGTATTAGAACCAATGAGAGACAATGCAAGCAAAAAATCCACAGGACACTGAAGCTTAATTACTTTAAGATACTGAAACCAAACATTTATATAACAAATACACATTGGAGTGCTTTGCTGTAAACTCACTGCCCTGAGAACAAAGGAATTCACCTTGCAAGGCAGTTAATTATCACTAGACTTACCAAACCCTTCAGATTAAAGTCCTTATTTTGAATACTACAATCCAGTTTCTCTAAAAACACAAACCAGCTGAATGCTGTGCAAGCCAAAGGTCACATTAACTTGCAGTTTACAGAACACATTTTGATTTCTGAATGCTGAATCTTCAGGATTCAAGACTCCCTAAAACTCCCAACCCTCTTGGCACAGGTCAGTGCAGCAAACAAACTCTACAGAGAGAAGGAACCCAGAATGGAGGCAATGTAACTTCATTATAAATAACCAGTGTTACAGCACACAACAGTGCAACAGTTTAACCTGCTAAAGCACAACTATGAAGTGCTTCTGTACAGCACAATTCTCACTCAGAAGGGTGAAAAGTGAAGCTTGGCCAATCTGTCCAAGCCCCACCAGAGCTGCCAAGGAACAGGAGCACAACAGCCACGTTCAGCACTCAGGCCCTTGAGCCCTTCCAAGATAAACCAGCCTGCAAAACCTGGGCGAACCCCCCAGCAATCTGTGTTTCCTCAGCTTTTCCATCACCTGTATCCCTGAGGAGCTGCTCCAGCTGCCTGACAGCTCTGTTTGCTCAGGGAGAGCTGCACCAACACACTCCAGCCAGAGAGGATTAACCAGGTCATGCTGGAGCTGGGTTTAGAGAAGTGGTTTAGACCAACTGAACCTTATGTCATGACTCAATCTTAATCAAGTTTAGACAGTACTTAAAATAGAATTAATTGAAGTACCAGCAGACTATAACTCAGCAAAGCCTCTTATTTATTACCATACATTCCTCACGTGTATTTATAGTGCCAGCATGCATGTTCACAGAACGTTCACCCAGAAAAAATGCAATTGTTAAACATTCCAGAGGCTCTGTTTGGCCATCTCAGGGGTCATCACATGCACTCCAGCCAGAATGCAATCAGGACACTAAAGAACATGGATAAATCACTAACACAGAAGACTTTAAAGCCTGACCTGTGGACACATTTGACCCCTACAGCACACAGGTGTGTGCTGTGCAGAAGTGCTGCTGCCCACAGCAGTGGTTCATATGCTCAGATTGTTTTGGGGTGCTCTGCACCCAGACACAGCTCTGCCAACACACAGAATTACTCGCACCAAGAAACAGAAGCTGGTTAAAATAAGTGCTAGAGCAGCAAATCGCTGCCAAACAAAAAGCCAAGTGTCACAATTATTCATTTAATGCTATTTAAAGACTCCACAGTGACCATGCAGTAACTTTCTGTAAAGCACTAATTGTTTTTCCAATGCAAATCTTGCTTTTAAGCATTTGGTAAAGCCTGCAGAGATCCAAACAGCCCACCCACAAGCACTAACACTCCAAAGTCTGTTGTTAAAGGTGTGTTTCTATCATACTGAACTGAATTCCACTACACAGTTTCAGATTTATCCTCCCAACAGGTGAACTAGTAAATGTAATTAATGTCTCAAGTAAAGACCTTAAAGATAATCAGCAGTTTGGATCCATTCTCAGACTAAAAAGAAAGAAGCCTTATTCCATCAAAAAGAATTTTATCTAAACTGGAATCTTGTGGTCTACTCATAGATACTTCTGAGTTTGAGCACAAGACTAAAATTCGAGAGACTTTCATACAGGAATCTTAAAATTAGCTCAGTTTTTCCTGTTGCATCCATTTAAGTTACATGGAGATACAGTTTCAGAATTTAAACCAGTTTGAGCCTGCCATGGAAACTAAGGGAGTAAACAAAATGAAACTCCTTTTCAAAGGCAATTAAAAAGATCCTCTACCCCCCTTCAAGTTAGAAAGTTTAAACAGCATAAGGTACTGAGGGAATGAAGATGTTAAAAACCCTGTGAAACAGATACACTGAAACACAAAAAGTAACATCATTGCTAAAAAACCCAAAAGACCCCAAAAAGAAACTCCAGCTCTGTTGACTAGAAAAGCAGCGTTAGCATTTGCAGTCTATGCAATTCTTGACAGACTTGGCTGCTGTTTTGGACAATCTCAGTGATTTCCCAAGTTTAGAAGAAAAAGATGCTCAGTGCAGATCTGCCCTCAGGTCACAGGCAGCAGTGTGTGATGTGTGATTCACCAGCTACCAGGGAGCACAGAAAAGCTCTGAGCAGAAGCAGGAATGCACAGCACAGTAGATTAGGCCTAACATCACCTTTCTTCATCTGCTTAGAAAAATAATTTGTGATTTGCCTATTTTAAATCATGTCTGCTCTGGGTTACTGAGATTAATCATACATAGGTATTGTGCAACATTTATGTATTTCAATAGTTCTTACCTGAGAGTGAAAATTTGAAATTGTTGTTGTTTCAATGTCCTTCTTGCCCAAAATTTCCATTTTCACTGGAGTGTTTGGAAAGTTAAAAGCAAAGTAATCCAGGAAGTCTGGTAAATAGGCAGCTGCCCCGTGCACTATGGCTAAAGCATAGTAAGCTGCATTTTTATCATTTTCACTGAATGACAACGCAAGAAACTCCTCTGCAAATCTCTCCATCTCCACTGGAGACAAAAATGAGAGTTCATCCATGTAGGCATGCAGGACCAGGGCACCTCCATTGGACTGGTGCTCCTCGTGGATGAAGTTGCTGAATTTAGTGCCAGTCTTGAGGAAGCTGCTGCGGACAGAGTGCTCCTGGTGCGTCACAAAGGGGGTCTGCACTCCCTGGGGTACGCGGTACTCCTGCATGCCCAAGTTCAGTCTGCACAGCTGCTCGTCCTTCAGGTACCTGAAGGATTCCTTGTTCATTTCCAGGCTGTCACACTGTCCTTGAGCCAGAGTCTCCTTGTCAATGCGGGTGAGCCCGGCACACACCGTCTGCACCTCCTTGTTGTACATCTTCAGGCGCTTTCCCCTCACATCCTCCCGGTGTTTCTTTTTCTTTTTTTTCTTTATCTTCTTCATAATAAGACTGTCAGCTCGCTGGGTTTTGCCATTTTCATCTGGAGTTTCTGGCAGCGACAATAAAGAGAAGATTAGAGTTCTGCAGTTGCAGCATATTCACCCCAAAAGAATTCAGGCCTCTCACTTGCTGAAGGGATCTATTCCCAGGGACACTGACCAATTGGAAAACATTGCATTTTTGGTTGTATAATTAAGTCAAAAGCCAGGGTACCTATAATTATACAAATAAAGCCTTGAATTAAGGAAACCTTACAAAATTCTTGCTTAATATTTTAGAAATACTTCAATTTTTAACAGATTTATCAAAATACCTTTAAAAGGAGTCTGTATTTCAGAACATCTATAATTAAGTACATTAATAACTTCTGACATTTAAGGCAGTGCCGTGCAGGGGAAGAGGATAAACAAGTATGTGTAACATTTAAACATTAAGACTTTCATTGCAGAGCACTTCCCTGATTTTGGATACATGATAGGGAAGCAAACAGAGTAGCACTAAAGAGCTACAAGCTTTACTTACACTTGGAAGTAAAAACATTTAAACTTAGATTGCTGATCTTTTAAAATTAAAGGACCCAAATCATCACATCAACAAATTCAGTCTTACAGTTAACAATTCAGTTAATGGAGAGAAAGAAATTAAGAGCCTGCTTCAGTTATTTGGGGTTTTTTTTTTTGAGGGGTTAATCAACCTCTAAAAGGCAGAGAGATAAAATGTAAAGAAATAGTTCTGTCAGGCAAAATGGAATAGTTTAAGTTGTTCTTCTTTCAAGAATAAAAGCTAATTCAAATAACATTTAGCAAGGGACAAAGGTAATTAGAAAACTTGATGGCCCAGCTGTTACAAACTCAATTGCCAAGACAAGGTTTTAACGTGCCTGAATCAAAGAACCATTTCATCCAAGAGTGCCCATAAATCTCCACGAGCTGTGTTAGCAGGACAGCCGTGGGGATGAGAACAACCTGCTGCTGAAGGCAACACCTGCCTGAAGATGCAGTAACCAAAGTTTTACCATTTCCCCTCAGCACAGGGCTTTGTCCTAAATTAATTTCCTTTCTCTGGCTGACATTGGTATTCCCTCTTCATTCTCTTAGAGCATTTAAGTTAAAGAAAAAAGCCACGTTGCACTGTTTTATGAGCAAGGGTGTAGTGCTAAACACAGGCAGCTGCAGGTTCCTCAGTGTAACCGGTGTTTAACTGGATCATTACTGGTTTGGTCTCGTTACTGAGAGGGCTGACCTTCATAACAGCCTGGAGTAAGGAACAGAGTTACTCATGGAGCAGAGAAAGAGTCGATTGCTTAATCCTCACTTCATACAATAGTCTTAGGACCTGAAATACAAGTTTTCACCGTGCTGCTGCAGCCCTTGCAAACAGCAAAGGCCCTGATCTTTCTGTTTCAGAGAAAGCAGGAAAAGCAGGGTGGTATCACTCGTTCTGGGAAGCCAATGAAATGGTTCTTGGAATGAGGTTTGCTGCAGGACTCGGTGTGAGGAGTGCAGGGTTTGCTCACTCACTGGGCTCTGAGCACACACACTGCTTTACTCACTGAGAACGTGCAATTCACACACCAGGGGTCTGTCCTGGACACCAGAGATCCCAAGCTGCAGCTAAACAAGGATTTCATGGCACCCCAGTGCTGCTGGGAATACTTCCCTAGGCACGTTTCTAAGAACATTAAAGGTCTCTTACTGCAAGCATTTCTGCTCTCAGGTACAGTTTTAAAACCTCACACATTTTAATCCAGAGTATCTTCCTGTTTGAAGCCAAATCCTCATAACAGACAGAGGAATCCTTGCATTTGGGAGCTTCCAGTGAGCACTTGTCTGCTTGCAGGATAAAAGCTGCCCTGGCTGCTGCTGGATGCATTGAACACAGCAGAGTCCCACTGTTCCAGTGAGTAACTGCTGGATTCAGTGACATTATAATAATGCCTGGCAATCCTGAAGGAAATAGAGTTTTAATTATTCCTGTAAATAAACAGAAGGCCTCCAGCACCTCAAACACAAAGAAGCTGTGGACAGGTCACTAAACTATGGGCTCTGCAGTGAAGCAGAGTGACAGCGGTGCCAATAACTCAGGGTATATAAATATACTAAAATGATCAGACATCCCACAACAGAACCAGAACCTTTATTAAACAGCAAAAACACTGGGAGTGTTCACTGTCACCTGGGGCCACAGATAAGCATGGCACAGTCAATGTAATAGGTAATTTAATTAGATTATACAGCAAAATAACAAGGGATAGTCAGGAAATGAAACACAGCCCCATCCCAAAAAGCACTACCCCTTCTGCTGAGGACAGGCACTGAAGAGCTTCAGAAAAGCAAACAGCTTTCCTTTACAAATCTGGAACTTTGATGCTCATTTTCACACTGTTTAAGCCTTCATTAAGAGGCCTAATTTAATTCTGGGTTAGAACTGACACACTGACACTCCAGTCTACAAAGTTACACTGCTCCAAACTTTTGTTTGATAAACATTGGTAAAACTTCAGAGGTTTACAATCAGAAGTTTTTTTTAATCTGTATTCAAGCACAGTGGTGTGGAAGCATTAACTAGGGGAGAAAAGCCTCTCCTGGTACCAGTTTTGTCTGTTCTTAAGATAGGACTATCTAGGCTTTACTCCACAAACACTTGACTTCTGTAAACAAGTGCATCTCTGGTTTCTTTGGCACAAAACCTGCCCATACACTCCTCAAGCATAATTCACCACATTATACTTTTAATTACAGTAGCTTTTGCAGTTATTTTTTATCTATGTTGCTCTCTCCAAGAAGCTTTTTACTACAACAAATCTCTGAGCAGAACCAAAACAATCACTCTGTACTGTTAAAAAAAAATAAACAAAACCACACACAGCACATGCCAAAATCCAGAGATACTTTGGCCTTTCAATAAAAGAACACACAGAATAATTCGGGCTGGAAGTGACCTCTGGAGATCATCCAGAGAAACCTCCCTGCCAAGGCAGGGTCACCTGGAGCAGGTGGCACAGGTTTGGAATATCTCCAGACAGGGAGACTCCAGGATCTCCATGGGCACCTGTTCCAGTGCTCTGCCACCCTTCATTGAAAGAAATTCCTCCTCACGTTGAGGAGGAGCTTCTTGTGTTTTAGTTTATGGCTATTCAGCCTTGCCCTGTTGCTGGGCAGCCCTGAAAAGAATCTGGCACCATCCTCTGACAACCGCATTGAAACATTCGTATGGAATCACGAGATCCCTTCTCAGGCCACTTATTAAAACCAACCATAAAAAATTTAGAAAAAACCTAACAAACCAGCAGCTCCTCACACGTTAATGTGAAGAAGCCTTTACTCCCACAGCACTCGCACGTTGACCGTGCGACGAGGGCGATTCTGACAGCAGCAGCAGCAACGCGGCCGCCCCGCGCTCGGTGCCCGGGGCAGCCCCGCCGTGCCCGCTACGCCACGGCCGGAGCAGGGCCGCCGATCGCGCCGCGCTGCCGCCGCCCGCTCCCCTCCACAGGTGCGCCCGGGGCTCCGAGCGCGGCGCCGCCGCCGCCCGGCCGAGCCCGCCGGGGGCACCCGCCGGCCCCGCGACCCCCGCGCTCCCCCCGCCGCTCACCTCGCTGGCTGGGCCGCCCCGCCGCGCCGTCCGCGGGGCTGCCGCGCCTCGCCTTGTGGCCGGCGGGCTCGGCGTGGTGCCGGTGGTGGTGTCGGCGCTCCCCGGGCGGCGGGAGGCTGAGCGGGGAGAACGTGAACAGCCCCGCGGCGGCGGGGAGGGCGGGCGGGGGCAGCGGCTCCGCCGGGCCGGGCCCCGCCAGCAGCGGCTGGCTCGGCCGGGCCCGCTTGGCGGCCGGTGGCTCGCCGGGTGCCGCTCGCCGGCGGCGGGGCCCGCGGGGCCGGGCGGGCCGGTCCGCTGAGGGCGGCGGCGGCGGCGGCGGCTCCTCCGGGGCCCGCGGCACCGCGGCGACCTGCGCGGCCATTTCAGGGGCTCCCTCACACACATTTAAATGGCCCGAGCGCCGGGCGCCGCCGCGCATGCGCTGCCGCGGGGCACCCTGGGACGTGTAGTTCGGGGGCGGGGCCAGGGGCGCGTGCGCGCTGCGCGGGTCACGTGGGCGGCGGGAGGAGGAGCGCGGAATTGGAGAGTGCGGAGGGATAAAATCTTTTATTTTAGTGGCGTTTGTCGCTTGTTCTAAAGTGCTTCATCCATTAAACACCGGCCGCGGGGTGCTGCCGAGGCTTTCCCCCTAAGGGAGATGATGTGGAGCTGCTGGAGCGAGCCTAAGGAGGTCATCCCTGCCCATGGCAGTGGGATGGAATAAAATAATTGAATCATAAAATGACTAGGAGGTTAGGAGGGAGCTTAAAAATCTCGTTTCACCCACTGCCATGGGCTGGGGCACCTTCCACCACAGCAGGTTGCTCCAAACCCTGTCCAGCTGAGTTTTCCATTCCAGCAGTGGTCAGCAGATTCTTCTTGACCAAATTCCCCAAATCCCACCTTAGTTTGGTGGGGTATTTTGGTGTTTGGGGTTTTCTTCCCCCATCTATACAGGAAACAAATAATATAAAGCAATGTTCATCTTTATCCCTCCCCACTGATCAGTGGAATCTTTGAGTAATCTGGCAAGAAATCTCGTCTTCCCTGTTCCCACCTGAAACTGTGCTGGAGAATCACAAATCCTTGAAAACAGCATTGTTTAAAATACAATAATATTTTCCTTGCTGTCATGGTGTTTTGGGATTTTTTTTTCCCAGATAGAAGAGCAGCTGGGTCAGCCACTTGTGCAGTTACACCAGTTTTTTTTTCCATGGGATCAATCTCCATCTTAAGTCTTATTGCCCCAAAATCCAGACAAATGCTCTGATTCACTCAGATGGGGAAAAAACCCGAAATATATATATATTATTTCTAGAATTTGGGATGCTAATTCCCTCGTAGTCCAAGTAATGTAAACATTTCAGTGTCTTTGATTGCAGTAGACCTATAAATGTGAGAGAGGGTCTTGATCACCTCTCTCTGCTCTGTTGGCTTTCCAGTTTATTCCAGAGCCTTCACTGGGTCCCATCATCAGTTTATGCTCAAATCCATCCTTCTGAAGTGATTACATTCCAAAACACGACAAAAATATGTCCGTCCTTAGGATAAAACTTGTATTCCAAGGTTAACCTTCCATCCCACTGCGAATTAACTGAAAGCTGCTGGTACTTTTGCATTCTTGACTTTAAAACTCCAGTTTTAAATTCAGTGAATGTGCAAGTAGTGCCTGAGCTGCCAATACCGTGTAACAGCTTCGGATGTGTTTATTTTGGTGGAAGCTTCACTGGGATGGGCATTCCAAGTATTTCAGGATGATTTCGCAAATCTGCAGCGCCAAGTCTGTAAAATACATCTAAATATTCCATGCTGGGGGTGGATTTCTTGGTCCTTTAGGTTTTGAGAATCGATTTGCAAAGCCTAGGAAGAAATTGTATGTTTTTTAATGCAACAAATTCAGTATGTTACAGGTGCTGATTATGTAATCCCTTAAAATAACACAGGAATTGAAAATATTGCAATTTCAGATCTTTCCCAAGTGTTAAGATACGACAGAAAAGCAACATCTCGTAGTTGCAAATAAAGTTGTAAACGTGTAAAAACTAAATGTGTAAAACCCAGTGAGCATTATTTGAAATATTTGTAGTTTGTAAGTGTTCTGCCTGGCATTTAGACTTCCAAGAACTAGGTTCTTCCTACCAAAACATGAAGAGCAAAACATACCAAAATTAAGGAAGGACCTTGGAGAGTTTGTTGGGGCAGGTTCTGATGATTTTGTCAGTGACGATGGACTGCAGATGCCTAGAAATAAAAAATGAGACTGGAGCAGCTGGTCACTGGTCCCACACATTTCAATACTTGCTTAAAGCCATTGCAAAGATATTAGCCTGAAAACTTACTTTTTCTCACATTTTTCAATATTTTCAAGCTCTGTAAAAAAAAAAAAATAGAAAAAGGCTAGTTGGAAAAAATGTGTGAAGCAATGGAGCAGCTACTAATGGGAATTTGCTGGTAATGCACATGTATAAAAACACTGATAAATGTACATGTATAAATAGATCAGCTACTGTGGGAATTCACTGGTAAATGTACAAGCATTACATTTCATAAAAAACAAACTTTGTGCCACTCTCTTTGGCTTTTTCCTTGTCATCCCCAAAGCCTCCAGTTTGTATTTTCCTTGCTGTTTCCCTCCAGTGCTTTTCTGTTTCACCATTACACCCCAAAGAACAATCTCACAGGGATAATTAACAGCAGGCTCAGCAAGAGGATGCTGGCAATGGTTCTGTCCTTGTAGGACAGACTCAGACCCCACTGGAGCATCTTTTTCCCAGGGGAGCAGGAACCCCAGGTGGATGGAGTGCCAAAGCTGGGTTTCTCTGTTCCCAATGCAGACAGGGTGGGTGTTTGCACTTCTTCACCAGAATATTTTTATTATTCTTGTTTTCTTGCCCTGAACACAAGCGCTCTCGAAGCAGGCCCTGTTCCCCAGTGACCAGTGAGAGAGCAGCAGCACCAGCTGGGCCAGAGCTCTTCTCTCTCCCTTTTTCCCACACCTTTTGTTTGTTTTACCTTGCTCCTCCTGAAGCATTTAATGAGTTCTTTGGATGATGTTCCTGAGCCCTTGTTCTCCAAACCCGCAGGACTCGAGGAATTTCTTGCAGCAGGCTGGAGACCTGGGAACATACATCATATGTACATTTTCAGTGGTCATTCACAAACCCTCCTGCTTTTTTCCAAGTGCTTTGTTGCTGCTTTTCATCTCCTCTAATGCAGCGCTTCTAGAAATTTTCTGCAGGTTCCCTGCTTGTGTTTATTTGCTGAGCTCTCCTGCAGGGAAGTACTGAAGCACTACCTGGTAATGCTTTGAACAAGTGGGTCACACTCTCAGGAACCTCCAGGCTTAGGTGTGAGTGTAAAATCTCAGATCCTGAGAAAAGAGCTCAGCACTCACTTGCTGCCTCAGCGAGAACAAACGACTCCGGGGTTCTTTCAGGAAGCGGAGGAGGAGAATTGGAGCGATCCTGGGCTGACTCTGAGAAAGCAAAGATAAAAGAGTTGGTTACCTAGCTTTAAAATTATATTTCTATTTCTATTTCTATTTCTATTTCTATTTATATTTATATTTATATGTATTAGAAGCAACCAGCTCATCTCAGTTGTCTCAAAGGAAACACACAACATGCAGACAAAGAGGAGGCTGCAAGGGACATGCTCATGAACAGGATGAGGCAGGAGCTGATTAGGAAACATAAAACTACCAGTTCACTTGTTTGCAGAACTGTTTAGTTCTGGTTAGAACTATTTAGCTGCAGAACTATTTAGCAACAATTTCCGTTGCACTGAGCGCAGATCCTAAACACATTTGCTAAATAAAGCAGTTTCAGAAAAAAAGCAGGTCTTAAATCCAGAGATTATCCCAGCTTTAAACTTATACCTGTTCGTGGGCTCCAAAGCTTCACACTCTGGAAACAAAACACAGGGCAGGTATTTAAAATTCCCACATCCAAATGTTGTTTTCTTGCACACAAGGAAGCCAGAGAAGAAGAGGAAAGGATGTGATGTGCAAACACCCTCCCACACACACCTCCACTCTTGTGTAGAGGAAGACAGACTTGTGCCTCATTCTTCCACTTCACAGAGCTGTCACTCAGCTAAGGGATCACCAACAGATGCCTGAATTTTGTTCAGCTCCTGTTGGTTCCACAGGGCTGGTGAAGCTCAGCAGAACACAAATGTCCTGTGTTCATTATCCTTCTCTAAATGAGGGACAATGTGCTTATTACCCTATACTAGTCTTAGAATCCCCAAAAATAATGTTTGGAGTAAAGTAGATGTTGATAAGAAGAGGCTGGACTGAGATCCCATCTTCTTTCCAATCCTGAGCCCTGAAATCCCTGGAAGTGTTCAAAGCCAGGTTGGACAGGGCTTGGAGCAACCTGGTCTAGTGGAAGGTGTCCCTGCCCATGGCCAGGGGGTGGAATGGGATTTTCTTAAGATTCCTTTCCAACCCAAACTATTCCATGATTCTGTGATTCTATTAAATAATTTATGGCAAGTACAAAGTGCCAAAAACTAGAGCCTTTCTCATAGAAGGAAATGTGGTAAGGAGATTGGCATAGGAATAGTGCTGGAAAAGGGGTAAAAAGCCACTTGTACCTTACATGGTCTCAGTCTCACAGGGTCATGAAACCCCTTTGAGTGAGACTCACCACTCCACTCCCACGAGGTTCCAATATTTGGATTTCTGTTTGGAATCTGGAAATCTGGAGTGGCCTGAGGAAATTGCCCTGGAAGCAGTTGAACACAGAGAGATCATTCCTCATCCCTCACTGCCAGATGCCACAGAGCCACCCCGATGCTGGGTGAGCCCCCGGTGCTGCTGAGCCCCACATTTCATGTTGGTCATCACTCACCTGGCTCACTGGCCACAATGAAGGACTCGGGGGTGCGCTGGGGCAGGGGTGGAGGAGCATCATCATCGTCATCACCAGGCTGTGGCAGGGGGGCTGATTGGAGAGACACAGACAGGTTACCGGCATGGCAGGACATGAGAGGACTGCTGTGTAGGGGAGGGGGCTGCTCCTGCCCTGCCACGCACCAGAGATTGGGGTTAAACACCTCTAAACTGTGGTTAAACATCGAAATAACCCCCAGCACCAACTGCACGGGGAAAATGTGCATAACACAGAGCCAGGCATGCAGCTGGTGGCTCTGCTGCTGCTTGGCTTGGGCTGCACCTCCCAGGACTCCCCAAGGGCACTGGGATAATGAGATAAGGAGCTTGTCTTTGTGAAACCAGTTGCTCCCTCAGCTCCCATGAGAGCCCAGCCCTGAGGAGCAGCCACAGCCCTGCCTGGACACCAGATGACCACACCAGCCACTCCCTCCAGCGCGCCCCAGTCCAGAGTGACCCGGTCCCACGTGTCCCCTTGTCCCAGC